CTATCAGTATATCCTGAATACAGCCCTGATTTCCCAATGTATCTTATTAAGATATTAAGATAGCATCAAACTCTAGATTGTTTAACTGCATCTATAGCTATACTATTTATATTAGACTCCTGGCATTATTGAAAATCTTTACCTTATTATATATTTGCCTTTATTTCCTATTTTAAATTTTTTGGATGAAGTCTAGTATTTGCTCTTACATTGTGAATTGCAACTACCTTTAGCAAATATTTGAATGAAAAATTCGACTTCAGATTTTGAAACACAATTTTTAGTGAATTTTCAGCCTATTGACATCAAAAGAGTGCATAAACAACGGATCATTCTTCTTCTATCCACACTTCGCTACTTGACCACTTTATATTTTTTCGTACAAGTCTAAGTAGAAAAATTAGTCTGATCACTCGACACAGCTGTGTCTTTCTATTATATTTTCTTACCCGTGAGCAAGCTTTGGCCTCTAATTTATATTCCCTTTTAAACCTTTATGAGGCTCTGAAATCTTATGGCACTAACAGCAAGCTACCTGCAGAAATAACTAATAATGAAGTAGGAGATTAAGCTCAATGCCCCTTCAAGAAAGTAAAGCTCAATCCTGCCTACTTGGTAATGCCTATTTATTTGTTTGGATACATCCGTGTACGTGGAGCGGCTTGCGAGCTGACCTTTTAGGTAAACAGCATGACATTTCTCTATGAGTTGATATCCACTTCACAATCGATCTGGTTGTGTGCATGTACTCCTTATCATGGGGTTTAGATTATAAGACCTTAGTGAGAAGGATTCCCACATTATTAATGACACGTTCATTTTGTCTAACTTGCTGACAGAATCTTTTATAATGCACACTTTCTTTTGTGTAACCTTTTTGGATAATCCGCTCTGTCTGTAGGCACTTAAACTGCAGCTGGCCTGGTGAGACTCACTGACAAGCTAACAAGGGCCTCTACGTTCAAAAGCCTCTCCAAATCCACTATTTGCTTGCCTATTTTGTTTGATGTAGTTCAGTCACTTTAAAGATAATCTCTTGACTGATAAACCCAAAGAGGAATAGACACTTTTCCACCATTTTAAGAATATTTATGATACCACTCATAATAATGTTTGGTTCGCAGGGACTACGCCAGTCATTTGTAGGATAAGTCTCTTTCAACTCACATTTATTGTGGGATATATTAGCAGGATGAACGTTTTTGGTTCAATTTAACTTAGTTTCGCATAATGTAGTATAACGACTTATTTAATGATTGTCACAGGATCCTGTTAAAAATTTCTGGAACACTCCAGATAGAATTGCTATTCGAGTGCAAATAGTCCTTCACTTCTGCATCCAATCGTTATATTAATGTGATAACTGTATCAAGTTTATCTGCTATATTCCCTTTCATCCTTTTATGAGGCCTTATACAGTTTAGCGGCCAAAGTTACTAGTTTGGGCCTCGAAATACAGTATCCTTATGTGTAAAAAGATGCTTTTATATCGGTTTAGATCCAATCGCTGCATTTAAGTGCCTTGCGTTCTTTTGCTCCATTGCATTTTTCCAACTTACGCATTAAATGGAAGTGTCCCTAGGTGTTCCATTAAGTGTTTGTCGAATCTTTTTATTGAGAATGGAATTGATATCTTTCATAGACAGATTTTCTGTATTCATTAGAGCGATTTTTGCATTGGCCCTTATTGGATTGCATTCCGAGATCTGTGAAATTATGAACATTTGCCCTATATTTTGGCTGCCCAGCTTGTTCTGTAATCCATTAAATATTTTATTGTTCATATTTTTATCTATCTAAGTTTGCCTAACTCGTATTCAGACAACCACTTTTACTCTCTCTCTCTCTGCATGTCTTTGCATTTCCCTTGGTCTAGTTTTAAGATTACTTTAAGATCATTCATTGCCACGTCGAATTCAGCGTATAAGCTCATTTAAAAGAAATTAATAGAGCAACTATGGTCATTTTGCTACAATCTCAATAGGTTTGGCAGCACCTTATTTCAATGGTCGCCATGCTCCCTGCGTGACCTTCCTCGCCTCTTGGAGCACGGGATGGGTGTCTGCTTGCACGATGCTCCTCAACGTGGCCGTTTAGCTTTGGAAGAACCAGCCCTGACTGTTGGTGCTACCAGTTCCATAGCATCTGCGCGAACAGCCTCCTTGTCCTCAGCTTCTCGTCTCCGGTCACAATCACGCCCCACCCCCACTTCTCCTGCCTCCTCCGCTGCGCTGACCGAGCCCAAAGCCAGGCTCAAATCACAACCGGCCTCCACTGCTTGGCAGACATCATCATCATCCTCGTCAGAGCTGTCCTCAAGGCCTCAATTAAGACCCTTGGTCACCGATAGTTTGAGCACTGTGGTCAACCCATCGCCTGATTACATTCAGGTTCCCAGTGTTGTTCGCTTTCTGGTGGGCAACCGGGCTGTTGAGCATCCGCCGTCAATTGCGTCTTTACAACGGGGCTCTGGCAGCAGAAAGACAACTGGCGATCCTCGCTGGCGAGCTGATGCGGTGGCTTCATCACCCGAAGCTGGGGCTCGAGGACAGTCCAGACAGGAGAAGGCGGCAACCCAGATGAACAACAGTGGGCTCTGTGGCAATGGGCTTGTCGACCCGGGGGAAGAATGTGACTGTGGGACTCGGTGAGTCGACAAGTTGATTTGCCTATCTTGAATTTTTATTTTTTTTTCCAGCTTGCCTTACACTTTCTTTAATAATCGGCAACTTTAGTTCATATTTTTATTTACTACTTATCTATCTATCTAATTTGTTTCTATTGTTAGGGGGACCTTCATTTCGTATGAAAGTGCATGAAGAAGAGATTCGTTGGTCGATCTCACCAGATTAGGACGGATGAATCTCGTTGTACTGCAGCCGTTTAGATTTTATACGATATTCATGTTGAATCTTTTCTTTATGCACTTTAATACGAAATTAAGGTCACCCTAACAATGTTAGGTCAGGAGATTCATCGAAACCAAGTTTATCTTCGTATCTCTAATTTGTTTCTGTTTGAGCGGTAAAGATTCATTAGTTCCAACATATAAGAGGTAATCTTTTTATCGGCTTCTTTCACGATATAATGAATCATTATGACCATGTACCCTTTTATATTTTCGTAGCATTCATTAGTATGGCATAATATCCATAAGCTCATTGGAGAGGTGAATGAATCATAAGTTTTGTTCTTGTAAGCCTATGAAACTTCTTAAAAGCTCTTGTTTAATGCTACATTAAGCTTAAAGTAGCATGTCTTTGGCTTTCGTCCTATACATGTGAATGCATTCTCGTATGCCCTCTTTTGTATCATAACTGATATTCGGCCGCTTGACCTAGTATTGTGTAATTACCACCTAAAACACTTTAACCTTTATCAATTCTGTATTATCACATTATGTTTGTCTGGTAGCCATAAATGGTGATGTTTTTTAAAGCCTAACTAAACTTTGGCACATTCGAATCGCTTTTTTTCTTTTTCCCTCACCGCAGGGACGAAACATTATGCATAAATTAGGCATTGTGGACCAACTGGAAGAATTTAGATCAAATAATATTTTGTAC